GAAATTCACCCTCAATAGGGTGAATTCCTTTTGAGAATCCTTTTGAGAATCATGTAGAGTCAGAGGCTATCAAAACAGCAAAATGCACCTAAAGAGACAAAAAGAAAATGAAATGTATTCCTGACTTGAGAAGAAAAAAAGTTGCAAAATATGTGCAAATAAAATAAAAAACCAAAGTTCATGGGAAAAATGAAGTTTAAAAATTAATGGAATTTTCCCCCGAACTTTTTGAAGTCCCCTGAAGTACGTACGTACATACACACACATAAACAAAAAAGGTAATTAAGGAATATGAATCACAGTAATTACTGTTTCAGACAGGGTACCCAAGGGGCACTTCCACAGTATCTGGGGTTTTTTTTCTAAAATGTAATACAAATTAACATTTTTTCAAAGTACTACATGACTATTTCCTTACAATAACTTGCTACCGAGCATAGCTCAGCAAACACCAATTGTTTATTTTTCAATATAATCGTACTTTCTGCCTGATTTCCTTTCACCTCTTTCTCTATACATGTTCAAATTTAGGAACTCGTACTAGCTTTTTCTTGAGTGCTTGATAATGCAGAGAAGACAACATGATCAGGAAGTCTTAGAATCAGGAGTAAGACAAGAAATACAGGGAATAAAGGTCTAGGAAGGCAGTCTTCTCTATTGTGACTTTAATGACATATTTGGGAATAAATGTGGGCTTCCGAAGAAAACAGGGCACTTTAAGAGGATTCTTGATAGACATGTGGTATTAACTTGTCCATGTTCACATGTATTTACTGCAGAGAAAATGTTGAAATAGTTAATACTGAAAAAAGCCGACTCCGCTTTTCAAGATATGAAATATAAATCCTGGACAGCACAAACAGTACTAAAGGTCTATCCAATTAAAGGAAGCATTTCTGATTGAAACTGGAAACACTTCAGTATTTCTTATTTTTTGTTTTTCATTACATATAATACAAAAACACATAAAATTAGAAAAATTTTGCTCAAAATTCACCATGATTGTCTTCTTGAAAAGTGAAAGGTCACTAAAGTTAAAGTCAGACGTGTGTTGCGTGAATTTTGGTCCACAACCTTTAATATATTTGTCAGAAAAAATAAAAATAGAACAGCAACATAGTATACTCATTGTCTTATATAAAGTAAATGTATATGGTTCAATGAATCTCAGCTTTTAATTATTCAAATCTGAGTAATGGGATTTTGTAATTCAGAAAAGAGCACTCAAGGATGTACTCAGACTCGGAATCTTTAGACAGGACTGTGAAGCTTCTGTTAGGCACCACTAACCTACATTCTTTGCTAGAAGATCTGATTCTACAATGACCTACAATAACAAGTCAAAAGATAAATTTCAAGTTAAAGGCGCAGCTCAAACTACTTTTGAAGCTAATGTAATTGGTAAATTATAAGGGTCCTATAAGAGCAATGATCTAGACTCACCATAACATTTATAACACAAAAATTTCAAATCATATATTAAAACAGTATTTTTTTCTCAAATGTTCTAAATACTTGGCCCAATGCATAGTTTGCCTTACTTAGAAGCTACTTGATAAATGCAATGAATTTTTTAAAGTGTTTTTGCAAATTATCTGGTTGTAAAGTTTTGTATTTGACTTCTATGTTGTTGCTGTTAAGTGTTGTCTAGTTGGTTCAGACCTGTAGCAGCCCTGAATAGGGTTCCCAAGGAGCTGCTTGTGAGCTTGAACCGCTAACCCTGCAGTTCAAACTGACTTTGCTATAACTACTACTCATTACCTCCTTCTCTGTTGGCCCCAGTTTATCTTCTCACTGAAAATCTGAAAGTAAACATCCTTTTTCTTCCTTATTTTAATGCCAAATAAAAAGTACTCTATTAATATATGGCTAATATTAAGTAAAATATTTCAATTTAGTTGTAACAGTCATGGCTTTAGGGTATTATCAGAAGTACCCCATAAAAAGCAAATTCAAACACTCACATTTTATATAATTGCTTTTTCTTAAAGATTACTGCTTACCCCAAAATTGCTACAACATTATTTTATAAAATAGTCTTCCCATGTAACCACAAAGCAAAAGAAACATAATGCCCATCATCATTACAGAAACAATGATTGAGTACTTTTAACATAATAATAAAGTATTCAGGTATTTTAATGACTACTTAAACTCATTTTTAATTATATCTTACACTTAATAGCTGAAAAATATTGGCACTACCTATCTACTACTTGTACTACACAAAGCATGGTAACTTGTGTCTTTTGCTAATAGTACAATTATAATGACAGGAATACAAAAGATATATTAAACTAGTGAATAAAGTATCAAGAAAAAATTTTCAGCCTTGATTTATTTCTATTTTCCTTTGCACGTATGCTGCAATTGGGGGTACTCTTGCAACACCCTTGCACCATATTCCTGGTTAATGAAGACCTTTCAGCCTCAGGACAATGACAGGTACATCATATTATTATAGTACTACTGAGTTGGCCTAAATTACAGGTATAAAAAAAAGAAATATGTGAGGTTAAGAGAGAGACGGAAATAAGGCAAAGTTTAAAAGACAAACAAACAAAAATATATACACACATACATACATATACACACAAGGGGGTTTCAAAACGTTTGTGAAAATTGTTCATTATCTTTTAGTTCCATTTTTGAAGTTTGTGTGAGGGTTGCATTCCATTTATAATTATCAGGAAACTATGAAGCAGAGGTTCTTATTTTTATTTCATACAATTAAAATAAGGTCAAAACTCAAGTGTGCAGTTCACTAATTATCAGACTCTATGACTTTCTCTTTTGGAATGAAGCTCAATTCCATCTCTTAATTAGTTTTAAATGTTGTACTTACTAAATTCCAGTGAAGAAAGACTTACTTCTCAAATACATCTACATCAGTAAAACTAGCAAAGCTTTCTTTACTCCCTCTTAATGAACCAGATTTTGAAGGGGATGGGGGACACAAAGTTTCCTCATGATTCTTACTGCCTCCCCACTTCTCCACTCCCTCCCCATAAACACTAGATTCACAGAGAACCAGGAGACTGCACAGAGGACAATCATCCCATACAATGACAACTTAATCTCCCTGACTCTTTATACACCTACCTTCCCCAAACACAAAGAACTGAGAAATCAGTGTGTTGGGTTTGGTAAGAATAATAAACAAGTTAAAATGAGGGCTCCCAGAACACTTACTACTATTTTGAAGTCAAAATTCTAACACCACAGCATCATGGTGTTAATCCACTCAAATTTCAAACCATCTGAGAATGTTCAAGCTATTGTTTAAAAATGTGGTAGTAAAATTTCATTAACTTTAACCTCTTTATATCCTCTTAATTGCACATGCTAACGGTTTTATGTGGTGCTGGGGGCTAATGCACTGGACCGCAAGGTCAGCAAATCAAATTCATCAGCCATTCATTGGAAATCCTATACAGGGTCGCTATGAGTCAGAACTGACTCGATGGCACTTAATAACAACTGCTTCTTATAAGAAGTAAATCCAGGGACCATTCAACTTTATCTTAGACATATCATTTACTAGTTTTCCAAGCCATGACAGAAATGGAAAAATATATATATTAGAACAAGAACAATTTACGTTAATTTCCACAATCTGTGTTCCTTCTGTGAGCAGTGCCTAATTTCATCAAAATTAACAAATTTACGTTCAGTCCTATGTTTGAAAAAAACTGAGGGACTAATTTACAAGTATACAAGAATATAATTTTATAATAAATCTTTCCAGTGTTTGCTATTAACTGCATTACATGAAATGTTTCCTTTCACAGAAACACAGAATAGCTCTTTTAAAATGAAACAAATCTTTCTGTGTTCATCTTTGACACGCTATGAACAAAAACACTTGCTCACAATAGGATCTAAAAGTGCTGTCTCAGGAGCATACACTATACCTGGCAAGATGTATGAAAGACTCTAGGGGAGGGGCAATCAAGTGGGAACTCTTCCTCTCATCTTAAACCACTGAACCCATCTCATACAAAGCCTAAGAAAAAACTAAAACCATTGCAGAAGTTAAATTCAATATGCTCCACTCATATACTTCTAAAGTAACCATTCTAAGCAAAATTCGTAGACGTATCTCTTTTACAAAAAACACAAACCAAAAGGCAAATGCTGCTGTTTGATCATCAGATGAAACTGACAGAGGCAAAAACTGTGATAACAGCAGTAGTTCAAGTAAAGAATGTGTGAAAATTTAAACATGCCCACTTTCAAAGTAAGACATAAGTGAAGGGGAGCTATAATCTTTATATCAGATAAAAGAGTCAAAATGTTTAGGCCTTATCGCCAAATGTTAATTCACTTTAAAGTCATCAATGAGACTATTGTATATACGTTTGCACCTTGCACTTGTCAAAGCAGATAAAATATTTAATATGTAATTTACAATGTATTTACCAGCTCAGCATAAAGGATGTATATAGATTATATCAAAGTAGTAGACAGTTAGGGGCCTGTGCAAACCCTGCAAAAATAGTACTTCAGGTATCTGCTAATTTAAAAAAAAAAAAAAAAAAAAAACAGAAGACAAAAAAACAGTGATACAATTCAAACTACCACAAAATACAAAGGGCTGCAAAAATGTGTATCATTCCAACAACATATATAAGTTATTAAATAAAGATTTGATTTGAAAGAATATAAATGAAGCCTTTAAGTAGGTCTTTTCTACATGCATACTATTCCTCATTAAAGAAAAAAATATGTAAAAAGGCCATTGGTAATTGCTTTGTTAACATATGTAGAAAATGCCAATTCTCTGGTCACAAATTTCACTAAGTTTAGCACTTAAGGTCTCTGCAGTGTTATAAATGTAATTTAAAATACTGTTAATTCTATAATTTCATTGGTAAAATAATGTGACTTGGAATACGGCAGTCTTCGTGTTGAGGGCAATGATCCACAGTTTTTTGTGTGTATGTGTGTGTGTGTGGGTTTGTTGTTTGTTTTTTTAAAAATTTCTTATGTGTGAACAGTTATCCAGAGGAACAGCACCCTCCGCCACCACTCTGGGCTTGAGGTTCATCGTCGATAATCTGTACGCCTCGCCGTGCAGCTCCTGGTTGACTGGAGCCATTGCCCTTTGCCCTCTCATCCACTTGTGCTGTTTCTATCATCCCTAAGAGAGGGAAAAAACAAAAATTATTAAGACTACAATTGTTAAATTTTCAGTTTCTACAATTAAAGTATAAAACTATGATAAATAGTTCTGACTTTCAACTAATAAGAAAACAAAATATAGTTTAGGTCACTATATGGCTTTACCTTAAGTTTTAAAACATTAATATCATGAAGCCAATGTATTTGTCCAGTGGTATGATCATGGTGACAATACTACAGAAGAAATGTTTTTGCTATGAACAAATTACAATGCCCAAGTATAAACTCTAAGATTTTCCAAATATATCTGGAAACATGAGAGAAGTCAAAAAGAGTTGCTACTAAGGTCCCAGACCATACACAAACAGGCTTCTTCTAAAGAAAATGTGTTTAAACATGTCTCTGTGATCAATGGATGGCTACAGACAAGTTCTATCAGCAATACATCTGTCTTAGTCTTGTTAGGGTGTCTTCCAAAACAAGGATACTTTTGTGACAGGGAAAAAAAACAATTTTCTGAAGTCAGAGCTAGTATCAAAGTTTTAGCAAAACTCAAGTGGACATCTTCCTAAATTACTGAAGCTTTGCAACAAATTTGTAAGAATGCTGTCCCACATGAAACAAGTTTTTAGATGGATCAAGCATTTTAAGGAAGGTCAGGATGAACTCAAAGATGAGCCAAGAGATGGAAGGCCATCAACCTCAATAAATGAAGAAACTCTGGCTGAAGTCAGAAACTAGTGACAGTAAACCAAAGAATTAGAACTGATCTGATAGCTACTTCATGAAGTTAGGGCATTTTCAATTTTAAACTAACATCTCGGCCTTAGCAAGTTTTCAGCTAGATGAATGCAAAGAGCACTGAGTAAAGATCAGCTAGCTCAGATCAGTCTTAAGCAAGATCAAAGCTAATGAAGATGATTTTATGGAATGAATCACAACCAAGGATGAGTCTTAGATTTACCAATATGATCCAGAGAGCAAGGTCCAATTAAAACAGTGGCTTCCAAGGGGGATCTACTCGGCCAGTTATATTTAAGGCAAAGAAGTCAGTTCAGAGGTTGTGACAACTGTTTTTTGGGAGACTCCAAAGGAGTGATATATTGATAGATTTTCTTGAAGAACACATGTCAGCCACAGAGGCTGCTTATTACAAAGAAGTTTTAAGAAAATGAAAACTGCACTGGTAAAAAGATTAGGTTACATTGAGAAATGTTTTCCATGATGAGACAATGTGCCTGCTCATTCTTCATGTATAGGTCTGTCATAAGAGAACAGCATCGGGAAACCTTACCCTATGCATCCTACAGTCCTGATCTTGCCCTTTCAGACTTTTTGTTCCTCAAACTAAATGAACATTTCAAAAGAGTACAATGTAAGTCCCATACCAAAACTGTCATTTTGGTATGAAGTAAATCAAGGGTGCAAAATTCTTTGGGGATTTAGAGTTAGAGAGAAAGAAGCACTGTCTTCAGAAACGTATACACCTTAGATGGATCAGATACCAAGAAACAATAGCTTCACAATTTGTATTGCTAAAGGGTGCTAAAATTTTGTAGCAATATTTTTACTTATTTGTGTGTCTAAGAAGCTAAAATCATTCCAAATACAAGTGATTCTAAGGTACAGGATTTATTCTTCTACTAGAAATGGAACACTTTCAAGTAAATGCTAGTTGTAAAAAAATGAAAGAAGGGGGCAGAAAAAGAGGAGGAAAAAGCTGATTTCAAAATTTACTACAAAGTCATACTTATCTGTGTTGTTATACTGGTGAAGGGAGATACAGAGCGTTCAGAACATAAAACAGAGTTCAGAAATAGACCGCTGCTGTAGGTAGGACATGTATTGGATTGCTAACCACAGGTCAGTGGTACAAACCCACCAGCTGCTCCAATGAAATTCTGTACAGGGTTGTTATGAGTCTGAACTGACTTGACGGTACTAACAACATACAGTCACTAAGGAGTCCTAGTGGTGCACTGATTAAGTGTTTGGCTGCCATTGGAGAGGTCAGCAGTTCCAGGAGAGAAAAATGTGGCAGTCTGCTTCCATAAAGATTGTTGTTGGTAAAGTGCCGTTGAGTCGGTTCTGACTCATAGCAACTCTGTACAGGGTTTCTGAGCAGCTGGTGGGTGTGAACCACTGACCTTGCAGTTAGAAGTCCAGTGCTTACCCTACAGCACCACACCAGCAGTCCTTCATAAAGTTTGTTGTTGTTACGTGCCCACTGAGTCGGTTATGACTCATAGCAACCCTGTATAAGGTTTCCAAGGAGTGGTTGGTAAATTTGAACCGCCGACCTTGCAATTCAAACTGACCTTGTGGTCCAGTGCATTATCCCAGCATAATGCCACACCAGGACTCCTTTTCAGAAATAGTATGTAAAAAATAAACCTAAACACATACCTCACACCATATGCAAAAACTAACCAAAATGAATTATAAGCCTAAATGTACTACCTAAAACATGACATTTGTAGAAGAAAACATAGAAAAAGATCCTTTCAATTTTGCGTTGGGCAAAGATTTCTCAAATAAGACACAAAAAGGAATCATAAAAGAAAAATAGGTAAATATTGTTACATTAGACTTCACCAAAATTTAAAACTTCTGCTTTTTGAGAAAAATACTGCTAAGAAAAATGTAAATATCTATTGGTAAGATAAGGAAGCAGCTGAATGAGTCTTACTACAAGGGTTCTCAAATTCGGGTCTACATACTGTCTCAAACAACTGGTTTTAAATTGAGGTATGGCAGGCAATTCACTGAGACTAAATAGGAAAATATTGCAAATATATTTCTACTTAATTACTTAACCTTTCAAAATTTCTATTTGTGTGTAGGTTTTGCAATCTATAAAATATACCAACACTTGTGTATGTCATATACATTTTAAACATGTATACAGGGTATATTCAATTACTATAAACTACTCATCGAGAATCTCACTACTCAAAGTATGGTCCCAAGGACCTGCATCATCACCACTCACGACCCACACCAAACCTATTAAATCAAAATAGGCGTTTTAAACAAGATCCCTTAGCAATACATGTGCACACATTTTTAAAAGTATTAACCTACAGCAGTTCTCAAAATTTATGGTACATCAGAATCACACAGAGTGTTAGTTACAACAGATTTTCGGCACCACACCCAGAAATATGGACCCAGTTGATAGAATCCTGGGTATGGCACTGTAGGATAAGCACTGGAACACAAGGTCGGTTTGAACCGCAAGGTTGGTGACTCAAACTCACCAACCAATCCTCAGAAACTCTATACAAATTTGCTATGAGTTGGAACCAGCTCAACAGCAGTTAACAATAGGAGTAGGCCCCAAAATATGCATTTCTAACATGTTCTCAAGTGATGATGCTGCTGCTGGTCAGGGACCTCACATTAAGAATTACTTTATCTACAAAAATTATGAAAATGACCTTCAGGGATTCATAAAACTCCTGAAATTTACTTCACAGTTTGTGTGTATGCACATTTCTCAGAGAGGAAAGCCAGTACTTCATCAAATTCTCAAAATGTCTGGCATCTATAAATTCAATGAATTCCACGTGACAAAGACATTTTAATCCATTATTTCATAAACTAAAGTGTCCAAAACTATTTGCTTGTTATTATTGTAGTGTGCCGTCAAGTTGGATCCAACTCAGTGACCCTATGTACATCATAAAGAAACATTGCCAGTCCTTCACTATTACTTTCAATAAAGAAGCTGTGATGTGGTGCTGGGGATACTGCACTGGACTGCAGGGTTGGCAGTTCAAACTCACCAGCCGCCCCTTAGAAACTCTATATAGGGTCACTATGAGTCAGAACTGACGCGATGGCACTTAACAACAACAACAATGTACATTTAGCAACTATCACATAAATGATTTCAAAGTCATTAATCACTGTTTGGCTATTAATGGTGGTTGGTAAAATGGCGCTTTAAGAATGCTAGCAATACTTTCAGAAGAGTCATTTCTAAGCACATTAAATCTAAATATACCTACTTTTACAAAGGTCAAGAAAGAGTTCTTCAATTCCTTTGTTTTGTTTGGCTGAAGTATGATAATGTTTTGCTCCCACAGATTCTGCATACCTTTAAAAAAAAAAAAGCTGACTTCAGTGATGATGTAAAGGTGTTTTTTCATGTTTTTGTCATGAATGCTATTTACAATAGCAATTTTTGTGACTTATGTTCCGGGAAATCAAGATTATTTATTTAACGTATTTCTATGGAATGAGCCAAGTCTTATATATTATAATTTGGAATGCAAATCCTTTGGAAGTTTTTATAACTCTATACCTATTTGATCATAATAATTTTCTTTTGCATCACTCTTATTTTTCATTTTTTAAAACTGAAATAAACAGGAAACTAAAAGTGAAATAAATAGTACCAAAAATCCAGAAACTACCAATGTAAGCATGTTTCCCTGAATCTAATAGATCAGTCTACATTGAGAGGCTTAATTTAATATGTAACTGATAAAGCATGATACACAAAGAGAAAAATCTCAACACCCACAAGGAAGTGATGAGGAAGTAACACTTACGATTCTGCTTCTTGAATGGAAACATGTCTCTCCTTTTCCAAGTCTATTTTATTACCTAATTTGGGGGGAAGGAGGGGAAATCAATCATTAGTACTAATTTTTTATAATGAAATTAACTCAACAACTCAATATACTACTATTTTGATCCACTTTTAAAAAATACAAACCGCTATCTGACTTCTAAATATTCTCACACTATTAAGTTGTGACGGTTGGCCATGGCTGTTAGATAAATGCCTCATCATCCCTCAAATGGTTCAACACAGGTTACTCCTGCAGGTGCATCCTCTGTCAGAGGAAACAACTTTTCCAAAGAGTGGGGCACCACAAACCAAAACTTTCTAGGAAAACCTAATGGGTAAACCTATGATGCTTAGCCAAGTGTAAATGGTCAAAAATAATAGCAAAAAATTTCTATAGTCCTAAATCAAATTTAGTTGGTTGGTTATGTGCTGTGGAGTCACTTCTGACTCATAGAGACCCTGTACAGGGTTTTTGAGGCTATAAATCTTTACGGGAGGAGAAAGCCTCATCTTTCTCCCGCAGAACAGCTGATAGTTTTGAACTGCTGACCTTAAGGTTCACAACCCAATTCGTAACCACTATGCTACCAGAGCTCCTTAGAGAGAGTCAATAATTAAGGAAAGCTATCTTATAGATTGGAGACCTGGTGTGGTGTTGTGGGTTAATGCACTGGACCGCAAAGTCAGTTTGAACCTCAAGGTTGGTGGTTCAAGCTCACCAGCCGCTCCTGGGAAACCCTATATAAGATCACTATGGGTCAGAACTGACTTGATGGCATATAACAACAACAATCTTGCAAATTGGTGTCTTGGTGTGGTGCTGCAGGAGATAATGTGTTGCATTGCAAGTTTGGTTTGTATCACAAGGAACCCTATACAGGGTCACTATGGATCAGAATCAACTCAATCACACTTAACAATAACATCTTATAGATTAAAATGTTAACCTATTGGTTCTAAAGAGAACTTTGGTTTCCTGGCTGATACAAGCTGGTTAAAACAAAAATTTTAATATACGGATTTTTAAGAACACCATTATTATGCAAGGGAAAAAAACTGTTTGTTTAAAAAAAAACTACAGAACTTATTATGTGTGTATCAGGCACATTCAAAACTGCTGAAAATAAGCTTAACTCTCCCTAAACAATGGGACCAAACTGAGATTACTCTAAAAAGCCATCAGAACAAGGAAGGTCTGAGGTGCTGTAATGATGGTTGTCCTGATGCTGGTTACACAGGTGTATTTAGTTCGTGAATTAAATTTGTAGACTTTAAAAAAGAAAGAAAGTGGAACAAAAATAAAGGAACTGCAAAATGCAGACTCCTTATTGAAAAGAAGTTGAGCTGGCTGAAAATAGATTGTAAAACGTACTAGAAACAAGATAGGAATGGGCGAAATTCCCTAACGAAGGGCACCTGAAACAAATACTCCCACTGTTTCCATTATGACTTCTACAGGAGAAAAAGAAACACCATAGTCATTTTTTCTTGGGATTTTACAGAGTACAGAGACAATTTCAGACACAGATATTTCCTGAACAGTGAAGCAGGCATCCAATAAAAGATGCAATGCCTTTGGAGGGTCTGTATATCAAAGACTTGAGGTAATTTATACCTATTAAATGCTAGCAGCTGAAGGACTATTTGAAACCCAGAGCTTCAAGATATGAGGGAAAGGAAATAGACTAAAGCTCAACTAGTACTAACAAATTCAGTAATGAACTCTTCTTTTTGAATAGTTATGTATCTACCTCAGCAAGAATTTCCGTATCTAGTTCTGATGTCCTACATTATATTTCATCAATAAAAATTTAATTTGCTACATATTACAGCCTAATTTATTACATATCACAGTTCTGGTGTGCTGCTATGGGTTAGTGCGCTGGACTGCAAAGTCAGTTTGAATCACAAGGTTGGAGACCCTACACAGGGTTGCTATGAGTTGAAATCAACTCAAAAGCACTTAACAGCAGCAGCCAATATATCAAAGTCATCAGAGGAAAAACAAGTTGTTTTATGAAACAAAGAATGCAAAAGGCACCACCTAGTGGCCAATGGCTGAAGCAAACAGAGGTGTAAGATTGTTTCACTCTAAAAAGGTAAAACAGGATTGATCCTAGTTGACAGCAAGGAAACTTTTGTTCCAAATAATTTAAATCTATGATTTGTTTCTCCCTAGATACCGAATACCTCATATTTTAAATTCCACTAGAATCATCAAAACCCATAAACAGAGTAAGGATAGAATCATCAAAACCCATAAATAGAGTAAAGTAGACAATCACATTACTCCCCAAAAGAACTTAGGAGAAATTAGTTAGATACTGCTTTATTATTTAATACTATTCTAAGCATAAATATTATTTTAACAAATTATTAGACGAATAAATTAGCTATTTTCATAACTATTATTTTTATAAAATTTCATTTTGCTGTTAAGATTTGTATACTTCTCTGTATATACTGCATACAAAAAGTTCACTTTTAAAAATCATAAGTAAAGGCTACAAGGAGTTTTATTTCAGCTAAATGTGAGAAAAACTATCAATCAACAAAAACAGAGCTGCCTTTTTGACAAGAACATTGAATCACCTTCAAAAATTGTCATAAAACTGAAACACAGCTATCTAAATGAGATCCGGATATCATGTTAAACAAGGTAAGTTGTTTCCAAACACTTACATAGAGGTTAAATTCATATAAAAGTTCTGGTGTGGCACTGTAGGATATGCACTGAACAATCAAAAGCTCAGCAGTTCAAATCCATCAGCTATTCCTCAGAAAACCTATGCAGGGTTACTGTACGACAGAACCAACTCAATGTCACTCAACAAATGTGTATGACACTAAAGGGCTTGGCCAAAAGATGCCATTCAAAAATGCTTATGAAAGAAAAGAAAATGGAACGAAAAGAGAAAATTAAGTCTCAGTCCTATCCAAAGAGGTTCTGATTTAGAATATGTGAGATGAGGCCTAAGAGATGTATGTGTTGATTAATGTTCTGTATCAACTTTGCTTCAAAAAGTTCATGGATCCATGGAATTGAAAGAAAATGGAATTTTTCTATGAACTCTTTGAGGCTTTCTTGTATATAAAAGGGAGCTTCAAAAAGTTCATGTACAAAAAAAATAAAAAAAAGTTCATGTATAAAGTTCCATTATTTTTCAATTCCATTTTTTCCAAGAATTTTTTTAAAGCCCCTGGTATATTTCACTGGTTTCATTTCTCAATAGAGTCTAGAATAAGACATTTGGTACCTACAGCGGGGTGCTAGTTGAACAGATACCTAAAATGTGGACTCAGAAATGGGTAATGGGTAGAGGTTGGAAGAGTTTTAAGGTGCCTAACAGTAAAAGCGGACTCCTGGTGTGGCGTTGTGGGTTAATGAGCCAGACTGAAAAGCCATTTGAACTGCAAGGTCGGCAGTTCAAGCTCACCAGTTGTTCCTCAGAAATCTTATACAGGGTAACTATGGGTTGGAATCGACTCAACAGCACTTTACAACAATTGTAAAATCCTAGATTGCCTTGAAGAAACTGTTGGTAGAATTATGTATGTCAAATGTGATTCTGATGAGGATTCAGAAACAAAAGAAGAACATAGTCTGTATCATCTCAGAGAACACAGTGCCAACAACAGAATGTTGTTAGACATGGGGGCATAAATGTGCTTCTGATGAAACTTTAAAGAAAATGATGAAAATGTGATTGGACAATGGAGAAGGGTGACACTTTTCATGCAGTGGCAAAGAACTTGTCTGAATTATGTTCAAATATTTGGTGAACGGTGGAACTATTAAGTGATGAACTGGATATATAGCTGAAGAGAATTCTATGCAAGACCTTAATGGGCTGTGCGGTTTCTCCTTGCAGCTTACAGAAAAATGCAAAAGGAAAGAGATGGACTTAAAAATGAACTGCGCAAAATGAAAATGCAACTTATTGAGTAATTCTGTTGTACAAAACTAAGGATGCATGCCCTAGAATGTTCACCAAGGACATGATTACACAGAAAGAGTAAAGCGTCAAAAAGAGTAAGCCTGTGACTGATGGATCTAGTCAACAGCAGAAAACATACAGTTTAGACTGAAATCAAGAGAGAAAGAATGCTGTCTTCATCTTGAAATTCTACAGGAAGTGTAAAAGTCAAAAAAGTTCAATCTGTTGTGTGCCAAGGAAATAAAAGAACAATCCCTGGAGCAGCCCTGGGATCAGCAAAACTGTTAGAAGAATAGGAGCAGGTCCTTCTCAGTTTCAAAGTGTAGTACCACATTCTGCTGAATCTCAATGAGTGGGGTCATACCTTTTTAGGTTTCTATTCGGATCTTCATCAACTTGGTTCAGGAGGTCGGGTGGGTGGTTACTATTAAGGTGTCGCTGCTGATGGGCTGTTGCCCATAGTTGAAAGAGTGGGCTGCCATGCCCAAGGGGCAGAAGAATGATGCCTACTGAGGATGTAGCCACTCAAATGAAACTAGAAGAACTGGGTCACCTAAAGCAAAGTAAGCAGGGCTGTCATCCTATAGGGCCTGTAATGCAGAGTTGAAGCCCAGAGTCAGGTGTCTCCAAGCGAGCATGGCCAACACCCAGAATGTAGAGGGTAGGATCACTGCCCAAAAGGTCTCAGAGAAGAGGGATATCTTTTCAAGCCTTCAGACTGAATGTGATTTGCTCTGCTGGGTTTTAGACTTTCTTAGTGTCTGTTATCCCTTCTTTCCCTTCAATTTCTCCCATGTGTGATAGAAATGGGAGAAAATTCATGTCTGTTCCATCACTGTACTTTGGAAATACACAGCTTGAACTCTAGATATCACAAACTCCAGGATGGAATGTCTTTTAAAAAAAAAAACCAACCCAAGTCTTTGTTATGCTAATGAGACCTGATTATTGTAGGCTGTGTTTTGGGTCATTTCTTTTGAGATATAAAAGAAACTAAACAAGTAAGCAGAGTAGATAACATAAAGACTTATGTCAAGAAACATGGAGACCTCCATGGAACCAGAATAAGCTAAAGAGTCAAGGACCTTCCCACAAAACTAACAGAGACAGAAAGACCACCCCCAGAGCTAGTGCCCTGAGTCTGTACTACCAGCCTACTAAACTATGAGAAAATAAATTTTTATTTGTTAAAGTCATCCACACCTGTGGTAATTCTGTTAGAACTAGAACACTAAGACACCAGGTTATTCTGATGATAAACCAAGCTTGGGAACAAGGGACTAAGTAGACTCAAATTTCTTTCTACTCCGAATTACAACAAAATCCCACATCACACTTGCCAATAGGAAAGAAAAATTTTTTTCTATTTCATACTAATCACTTTGTTGTTGTTGTTAAATGCCATGGAGTCAGTTCTGACTCATAGCAACCATGTATAGGATTTCCTAGATTGCCTTGAAGAAACTGTTGGTAGAATTATGTATGTCAAATGTGATTCTGATGAGGATTCAGGAACAGCTAACCTTGATTTGAACTGTCAACCTTGTGATTAGCAGTGCAGTATTTATCCTACATCACCACACCAGGACTCTATACTAACCTCTAACAGACATTAAATAAAATGAAGAGTATTTAACCATACTTGAAGCAGTACATTATCAATGTTTCTAAGTTTCTGATATGGACATAAAGAATATGACATTTAAATAAACTACTTATAAGTAAATGTAACCCCGCTAATATTTTGTTAATGTTAGTTTGTGACCTTAGTAATGTAACAGTCTGCTTCAACTTTCTCAGTTATATATTAGTCATTTTTCTCTCTTCTGAAAGATGACTAGAATCCCAAATAATGAAATCTTAAGTCATTCATTCACCTACTATAGCTATATTCACTCCCAGTTAAGTACAATATAACAGACAAAGCCAGTAATACTCACTAATGACTAGTTTAAGCTTTTGCCCTCAAACTCCAATGTTGTCTCCTACCTCAGGAATCTGGTCTGAAAGTCTTACCATCAAATCTAACAAACCACATCTAGACTGAAAAGCAAGCCAAATTATCCATCTCCTTGTCCTTTTCAACCAACTTGTACTCTCATTTGTGACTGCTATCAATCTAATGATGACAAAATGCATGAAACGTAACTTTCCAAAGCTGAAAAACCGAACTTGCCCAAGTTGACCACTCCTTTCATTTCCCAAAATTTGTCTCCCCTCCACTAAACCTACCCTGGTTTCTTCCAAGCCATTCTTATTATATATCAGCCTTATAAAAAGGAAAAGAGAATGAATAAGGATTAACAACATAAGCATTGAATACTGACTCTAATTCAACTCCCATCTCTGATTTGTTGTTGTTAAGTGTCATCGAGTCGGTTCTGACCCATAGCGAACTTGTACAGGGTTTCCAAGGAGCAGATGATGAGCTTGAACTGCCGACGTTGCAGTTCAAACGGCTCTGCAGTCTGGTGCATTAACCCACAGCGCCACACCAGGAACCCCCCATCTCTGACAGGTGGTCAGTATTGGGGAAATTTATTAAGTATTCACAAGGTTCAGCTATCTCTACAAAGCCATCACAGGGTTATGAATATTAAATGAGACAACGTTTAAATGAGTAAATAGCATAGCATCTGGTGCACTTTTTATGTTATGTCATAAAAATTATAATCTCAGACTAGGGAACTAGAAAGGAAATTCCAAATATATAAGAATTAGTCCTAAGGTTCCTTTATTCCTCCCCTTAAAAAAATATTCTTCCTTCCTAGCATCCTGATTACACTGAAGTCTTTGGACTTAAATTTGTTCTTAACTCAAAAATGTATACAATCAAATGTACAAAGCAAGAAAAAAGGGTCCTGCACTCTTATTTCTCAGCAAAATCTTAGATAAAAAAGTATGGTTTAATTGAAGCAAAGGTGAAGGACTTGAAGCCTCATGTTTTTAGCTTCTCTCTTGCTCTCCAGGGCATCCATTGAAGTACAAAATTTGAATCTCCTGAAAAGATAACATTCAAATCTTATTTCTTAGAAAATATTAGATACTAAATGCCACTCTTCCTTTCTCATAAACTTTAAAATAAGAATTGTTTGCTTACCATTTCCTTAGGAAAGCATTAAGAAAGTGATAAGATTAAAAAAATATGCTTACCAACTATACATAAACAGATTTCATTTCCCAACATTTTCCGTAATTCTTTGACCCAGTTTTTTACCTGTGTATACAAAGAGCAGATATTAAAAGAAATCCTGCTACAACTCCCATTCATTACAACACCCCAAACCCAACATTGTCAAAACAAAAACAAAAACAAAAACCCTGAGAGATTAATCTACCATATATTAAATTACAAGGAAATTCACTGTAGGATCATTTATTACCAGCTTATATTGCAAACCACATGCTTACGCACATGCATGCAAGCTCATACACAAATACACACAATCAAGACCTCTATATATATCTGGTGTGGTGCTGTGGGTTAATGCACTGGCTGTCAAGTTGGTTTGAACCCCACCAAGGTCAGTGGTTCAAGTTCACCAGCCGCTCCTTGGAAATCCTATACAGGGTCGCTATAAGTTGGAACTGACTCGATGGAACTTAACAGCAACATACATATCTACGAAGGATATAACAGGAGTATCTCTAAAAAATTTTTAAATAAATCTTTCATAGCCCAAATAAAGCTATTCACCAGAGCAAAATCATATCAACTCCAGCCTCTGTAGATACTTGTATGGTCACTTTAAGATTTAGAAATACATCCCTTAAAGCAGTCTTTTGAAGTGTAATTTGTTTCTAAATAGTATGGGTAGAAGCTTCTGTAGCACATGCTTTAAAGAAAACAATATATATGAGCACAAACACTCAAAAAAGTGGCAAAATAAATTATCATCATTTAATATATAACAGGGTTTCTTGATTTCAATGTCATTGATGTTCTGATTCAGATAATTTCTTTGTTATGGGTGAATGTCCTATGTGATGTATGATGTTTAGCAGCAACCCCTGGCCTTTACACACTAGACACCACTAGCACCTTTTCAGTTGTGACAACCAAAATGTCTCCAGACATTGTCAGATGTCCCCTGGCAGGCAAAATCAGGGGTGAGAAAGAACCACTGGTGTACAAGGCCTCCAGTAGCAAACTATTTCCTACTATCAAGCACAGCATAGGTGTGTTGTTGTTATTGTTGTTAAGTATCAACAAGCTGGTTCTGACACACATATATAGGGGTTTCTGAGGGGCAGCTGGTGGGTTTGAACTAATGAAATTGCAGTCCTGTGCTTATCCTACAGTGACACAAATGGACTCCAGCAATAGGCATAGTTGGGAGTAAAGTACAATTCGGTAGATTATTTTAATTCATATCGTTAAATATTTTGATTACAATAAGATTACAGGATAAAGAAATTATAAACTTCATCTTTTACAATATTATTTAATCTGTGTGTCATCAAATTACAGAGAATTTATACTTTTCTAAAAAATATACATATATATATACATCTATATACTACATTTAGATCTACAGTAAGCATTTACTGGCCATCTGGTTTTATGGTACAAATAAAACAATTCCACAATCCTATTCCTTGAAGTAATACAGAGAAGCTGTCTTTGGTAAATCCTAAATCCTTATAAAGCAAAGGTAATCACTTGATCTTTAGGGCAGCACTGAGTCAGATTTGCAGGTGCAGCCCCATCTTTACATTATATATAAAGTTTTGAGGTAACCATTTAAGTATCATCCTAGTAGTTCTCACATAGAAAAAAAAAATTGATACCAGTAAAAAGTGTGTGTCTTCACCAACTCAAAAGAAATATGTCAAAATCCAATTACGTGTTACTCTACTCTCTGCCTAAGGAGTCTGAATAGTGCTGTGGATTAGGCGTTGGGCTGCTATCCACAAGGTTGACAGTTTAAACCCACCAGCCACTCCATGAGAGAAAGACGAGGCTCTCTGCTCCCATAAAGACTTATAGTTACAAGGAGTTGGAACTGATATGATGGCAGGGGTTGGGGGGTTTATGGTTCTACTCTCTGTACATATCACAACTTAATACTCTAATCAATTTTCAGAAAATTTGTTAATCATCTCCAATTTGATCCTATCTATTCATTACACCAGTACATTTTTTGGTACCTTAAAGATGGCCACAAATTTTTACCACACCTGAATTTGAGCTAGCCTTATAAGCTTGGACTAACCACGAAAATGTGGCAGAAGTGATCCCGTGCCATTTCAGACCTAAGCCTAAGGACTGGTAGCTTCTGCTTTCACTTTCTTGGGATCCAGTTGTTATATAGAAATTTGGGCTTGGATAGAAACTAATGAGTGCACATGTGAAGAGACGACCTGGAGAACAAGATACCTGCTGGGACAAGAGGCCACATGGATGAGAACCAAGCCTAAATCTTAGATGGTCCAGTTCACTGCAGCTGCATGAGTGATCCCACTGATATCTCAAAGAGCAGAGAAACTACCCATTCAACCCACAGAATGATGTTGCTGTTAAGTGCAGTCAAGTCGGTTCTGACTCATGATGGTGGTTATATGCCACTGAGTTGTTCCAACTCATAGCAACCCTGTATAGTGTTTCCAAGGAGCATCTGGTGACTTGTGGTTCCATGCATATCCTACAGCTCCACATAAGGATTCAATTTCAAGGCACCATGTTTTAAGGAATTTGTTATACTGCAATAAGTAACTTTTCAATCTCAAAGTCTCAATTTTCTCTTAATAAACACTTAAATAATTTATTTTTCATATGTAAAGTAAGGAAAGAATTACAAATAGCGTCAAACAGAAGTTCCAAAATAATTTTAAAGAATCATTAGACCTGCAAGCTATTTATTCATTTTTCTGCTTTTTATACTAAGCTTTTTCACTATCAATAATAATCCAACGGTGGATCTATCTGCTCTACCAGATTCAACTGGAAAACAAATGCAAAAACTAGAAAGTCACACAATTTCAGCATGAACAAATCTGTAGCTCAAGGCTAGCATAGCTTCTGCCATGGAAATTACTCTCTTTAGTTACACATTCCTGACTAATTTATTCAAAGAAGGGATTTAGGAGGAAATGGCAAATAAGTAACCCATTCTGTGAGGAGAATTCAGAGATAAGTTTACTGGAAACTCATTTTTGGTTTCAAACAACTTTACAAGTCCTGACTTTGCAAGTGTACATTGGAAGAAGGATGAAAAATTACAAGAGCTTTAAAACAAACAATATCTATCCTGTTCCTATAAAACTTATATGATCATCTCCAGGATACTTATGGAGGAGAAAGTGCTTAAATGTGATTCAGTTCTTCCCCTTTCCTTCTCATTATAAGAGAGTCTGTGCAGTCAGACCAAGTTTCAGGCACCCAGAGGATTTGTAACGAAGAAATGTTTGTACTTTTTCTTTAGCAGGGAGGGAAAAAAGTCCTATATTTTTCTGAAACATTATTTCTAAATGATAATTTCCCTCTTAATTTCTAAGAAAGTATGTAATAAAGTATTAATCATTTTAATACGAATTTTAAAATGAGTAGCCACCATTTATGTACAAACTATAAACTTTACCTTTAAAACCAAGACTAAGTGTGTTAGTGAACAAAGGCATGTTAATGGAGAATTGAAAAATCAGTGTGTTGTTCTGATTATAGTCATCTACCCATAAGTAAATCAAATACCTTCTGAAAAGAATCTTCATCTGTCATGTCATAAACTAAAACAGCTCCATTTGAATCTCTGTAGTAAATTGGACCCAATGCATGAAATCTCTCTTGACCTGCTGTATCCTAAATAAAGGAACACACACTTTTTAAAATAGATGAAAAATATATATATATGATATATTTCAACTACAGCAAATTTACGACTAATTAGGAAGTGGGGCACACAGAATCTCAGGTACCCGAAAACACTGTTAAACACAAGGTGAAAAAAACAAACAAACAAAGAACCAAACTATAGCCAATATTTAGTGTTTTACAATTATAGACTTAATGTTTCTTCCCTCTCAAGTTGCCTAAACAACCCCACTGATAAACCAATTTCGATGTCAATCAGAATGGTTAGCAATGCACCATAAATCAGTTGCCCATGAAATGAGCCTTTCACTAATCTTAATTTCCTGAAGAGTACAAAGCAGACAAATGGCCCACCTAGTCTTCTCTCTGAAATGAAAGCCCTCTGACTTTGCCCTTTGTAGATGAATAGTTATGACGCCAATATTCAAATACTAAATTCTTTTCAAGATATAATTCTTAAGCAGATTCTAGGGGAAAAAAATGTTTTGTTTTTTTAAATCACAAACCCCACCAAAAATTAAATAAATAAATACAAAACTTTTGGCTAGCCTTCAGGTAACTTTAAAAAAAAAAAAAATACAAAACTTAAATTTCCTATTCTTTAAGCCAATTAGTTCTTATAGTACCAAAAACATGCAGAAACCTCCATTCACAGAGTTGAAAAAATTAACTTACCCATATGGCAAGATTTACTCTTTTCCCACCAATATTTAACTTCTTTGTTAAGAAAGATGCCTAAAAAAAAAAAGAGAATGACACATTAAACAATGTTTCATATGTTTTATTCTGACAATTAAAAATAAATGAATCATCTCAATGTGAAAATTCAAACTGTGGGAGAAAAAGTAATCACTGAATTTTTTACTAAAGGGCAAACATTTTCACTGACAACAAATTATTTACATTCTACCTGAGGAAAAGATAAGCTCAAATCATGAATATACAAAGAAAAACAATTATTTTCTTAGTTTTTCTTCGTCTCTATATACAGAACAAAACTTTTCTTAGAGCATTTGAATTTATCACGTGAACCTACTCAGTACAGAGAGAGGCTGATTTCTAAGACACAGATATACAAACTTACCATCCCATTGGGCAATGTCTTTCCAGGCAACAAAAGACAGCATATAATTGTCCATGGTCCCAGAAAGTGTTTTTTGTTTTTGTTGTTGTAAAAGAGAAAGCAACACTCCTTTTTTTATTTCCCCCCTGATGGTTTTAAAGGAGTCCTGGTGTGGTGCTGTGGGATAAAGCACTGGACCGCAAGGTCAGTTTCAACTGCAAGGTCAGCAGTTCAAATTCACCAGCAGCTCCTTGGAAATACTACACAGGGTAGCTATGAGTTGGCACCAACTCTATGGCACTTGACAACAACAACAAAAATAGCTTTAAAGCAAGTGCCAATGGCTTTAAAGGGATAAGCACTGAACTGGTAACCACAAGGTAGGAGGTTTGAGCCCAACAGCTGCTCCATGGGGGAAGGATGTGACTTTCTGGGATCTTAAAATCTCATGAGTTTTATCAAGGTACAACTACTGGTCTTTCCATGTGCAGAAGAAAGAAGAGTCATGAAAACTGAAGATGTTTAGGATCAATTAGGCCAATGGACTAATGGAACATGTGAACATCAGTTGCCACGTTTCTGAGACCAGAAGAACTAGATGGTACCTAGCTACCACTATCAACTGTTCTGGAAGGGATCACATTAAAGGGTCCCAGATAGAGTGGAAGACAATATAGAACAAAATTAAAATTATCAAAAAGATTGGGCTTACTGGTGAGAAAGAGACTGAAGGAACCTGAGACTCTGGCCCCAGGTCTGGAATGGAACTCGCTCTTGTGGCCCAATTTTTAACCAAGCTGTGGATATGTATGTGTGCGTGCAGGGAAAGGGGGAGGGGGGGCACACGCAACACTAATAAGGGATGCTCACCATGGAATGGTCAACCATTCAAGATCAAAGGGCAACATTTACCTGGGGACAAGGTTCAGAGGGGTTGGTGAGGGTGGAAGGGAAAAAATGGGATAACTGTTTTTACATAAAAGAGATTGCAATTATTGTGATGACACAAAAACAGTGTGTGACTTGCTCTGTAAACCTTTACTCAATTAATAATAAAAAGTTTCTAAATATATACAAAAGAGGATGCTTTCTGCTCCCACAAGTATTTACAACCTCACTTTAAACAATGGTTTTAAAGACCCCAGAGCCCTAGATTGAATGAGAAGCCAGATTACAGAGTACATCCCAAACTCTTCCCTAGCCTCCTTCTGGCTTCATTCACCCACACAACAGCCACATAGTCTTTCATTCCCAATGTAAGCAGTGATTCCTCCACACCTGCCACAGGAACTGACAGTGCCAAACCAGGGTGCCCCACTCCCATGCACCTGGGCAAAGCCCTGATCTGGCTGCCCATATAGCCCCAACAGGCACAACCACACATCCAGCAAGGCCCGCCTCCAGTATCCAGTGATAATAGCTCTTGGCTTTGTCTGCTGGACTTCCATAAGGTTTTCACATATAGGCTTTAGGGGGATTTTACTACAAGGACTACCTGTAAATAATATGGTGTTCACAGAATGACCAAATTGCATGACATTCTATCCCAGTTCACAGAACATATCATGAATGTTAAATGGCGCACATCTGAATAAGAAATGCTTACTTGTAGTTTATTTAATGGTTTGAAACCAGTATTATTCTAAATGATTCTGTAATTATTTGTAATTAAATTATTCCACATTGTTGTTGGGTGCCATCATTTCCGACCCACAGGGATCCTACATACAACAGAAAGAAATACCACCCTGGTCATTCACCTCCTCACAACTGCTGCTATGCTTGAGCCCACCCTCATTTATTAGAAATGAAAGTACCTTGACAAGGGGAGACGTGGTAGACTTTGAAGCAAATCAGCAATTTCTCTTTAACAAACTTTACTATGATAATGAGAAAAATGGGGGAACAAAGAAACTGGGCCATTTTTCCTGGAATTAGCTCAGCTGGGTAGGGTTAGGGTAAGTGGATGCATGTGCAGACTTTTTGCAGGATGGATTCTGTTGTAAAGGCTTCTGGGATGCTGATCAATCTACAAGGTTAGGTTGAATCTTGAGTCAATCTCTTTTGGGACACAAAAGAGATTAAACAAGCTAGCAGAGATGAGAAGGACTATCATCAACAAAGGAGATCCAAGAGCAGAATGTGTCCTTTGGATCTAACATCTCTGTGCTGGGAACCTCCTAGACCCAGGGGAAGAATGATGCCAAGATACATGGATACCTCCAAGGTATGCTAAACCCACAGATTTTATAAGGAGACAAAGACCATCAGAGTCAACAGAGAAAGGCAATCCAGCAGAACTGGTGCCCTGAATTCAACTTTCTAGCCTCCTAAATTGTGAGAAAAAATTTCTATTAAAAAAAATCCACTCATGGTATTTTGGTTATAGCAGCACTAGGTAACGACTAGATATTACTGTTGTTGTTAAGTACCATGGAGTCGATTCTGACTCATAGCGACCCTGTACAGGGTTTCCGAGGCTGTAAATCTTTACGGGAACAGAAAGCCTCATCTTTCTCCTGTGGAACTGCTGGTAGTTTCAAACTGCCAACCTTTGAGGCTGGCAGCCTGCCTCGTAACCACTATGCTACCAGAGCTCCTTTAGATACTACTAGATAACCTAATAAATGAGTGTTACAAAATATGAGGGGGCTTCAAAAAGTTCATGGAAATCTTCCATATCTTTTCATTGGTACATGACACTGTAAAATATTGAAGAATTTTCAAGCAAGTAAGGAAGTATAAATTTTGTATACTAGGAGACAACTCATGACAGTAATGGAGGTTAGACTGAAAAGAATAGGACTGCACCTGGGAGACAGAAGGCCAAAAAAAGGGAGGTCGAGGGGCGGGGAGGATGATAACCAGAAACTGCACAGGGTACAGCTCTTTCAGTAAGGACAGCCTCTTCTCAGCCATGTCCATGGGCAGGCCTCTCTGCCTGGGTAATGTTAACAAGCTCTGTTAGGGCTACTGATGAACACCCAATAGGACACACCACTCTACCATAAACCTCAGTCTGAAGACACTCAGTTCAAACTCCATGGGTCAGCAAGGCAAAGTCCTCCAATTAAGTGTCTAGAGACACCCCACTGTGCAAGCAAGCCTTCTGCCCAGTTACTCTGCTTTACTTGCTCTGCGGGTTGAGAAGTCCACCACAGTCTCTGTCCTTGCTTCTGGGGATAATGCTCCTCTGGCACTCCACGTGTGTTATATAGCTTTCTGTCCCTGGGTCAAGGATGTTCAATGAGCAGGAGTCTCAGGATCTAAAGAACGTGTTCCACTCCTGTCTCTTCTTCTTTGATGGTAGTTAAGATTTCCCCCTCTTTTTTCTGAGATGGATCATTTTAAACCCATACTACATTCCCAAGTGTTTATAATTACAATTAATTCTACTAAATTCACAACTGCATCATGTCATCCCATCAGTATCTTCTCCCACCACTCTTACCCAGACCCATCAGCAAAAGAGTTGCTTGGTGGGAATTAAAAAGACTAAGGCATTATAACTTATAGGAATACCTAAAAGAGGTTCTAGAACTTGCCCAGTGAAATACGCTTCTTGCAGAGCCTTTGTAGTGTATAGGAACTTAAGTGGAATCCTGAGCCCCATCCAGAACCTTCCGAGATGGGACATTCTAAGCATACCAGCCTAGGACAGCCACAACAACAGATGATACATCTTCAATGAAAGATCAGTAGAAAAAAATCCAAAACAAAAATGGCAGTATGATTGGCTACTAAAAGAACAAGCAAGTTGTTCACCAAGGAGCCACCAAGGCAAGCAATCAAGTCCCTTCAGGAAAACCCCGCTCCAAGACTGAAACTCAAAGAGAAAACACAAGCCGGCATGTAAGCTTACTGAAGACCATGTTGGTCTACTAGTGAGCGGAGAGGGGGAAAGGCAGCAATGAAGATATGGGCTGACCCCTTCTAAGACTAAGACTCAATGGGAATACACAATCTGATTGGTGATCACATTCGTTATCAATAAGGGGAAGTGAGGGAAAAGCAGCAATGCAGCTGAGAGCTAAGCCCTACAATGTTCAATAGTATCCTGTGAACCTGGGTAGAGACCTGGTTGACCAGCAGTGTGGCAAGACCTAGGGACTCTTGAGCCCAGAGTCAGTGACATAGCCACAGAGGACCAGAGTGGAGAGTGAAGCATCCAGCTGATAAGAAGAGAGGGCATATGCATATGAACACCCACACTTGCAGATAATACCCATTTGACATGGCTTCAATGACTGGATGATCAGAGCTCAACTAGAAAAAAGAAGGATGAAAAAAACAGTAATCTGATACAATTTGATGAACTTGACCTACACCTATGGATGCAGTAGCTCAAAAGAGGGAACAAATCTTTACAGCGAGGATCATTCCCACCCCATCCATACACAGAGTAGACAGGGATGGCCAACTTGGACATTGGCTACCCAAAATGGGGGGGGAGAGACTGCTGCTACAAAGGCAAGAAGTGACTGGCTTCCAAGCTTTCAAGAGGGATCCTAGATCCAGAGGGCGTGGAGGAAGGTAGAATCTCCACTGAGTAGTATCCAATCTGTCTAGGCAGGGCTCATGAAAGGAGATGTGGATAGGTCTCTTTGATACAATAGTGAATAATTGTTATCAGGACTGATTGTGAGGGTTGTAAATGTAAAGGTAGACAATT